GCTGCTGGTAGAGTTTTTTTTGATGTCTCAAATCGTGTCCTGATAGACAAGATGTGAAAGATCTTTTTTTGTAATACCACTATCTACCTTCATGTTTTTCCCCCTTTTCATATCTAAGATTATTATCTGATAAGGATAAAATGGCCGCGCTCTCCTGTAGTTGCAGCATCGTGCACTCCGCCCATCTTTCGGACGACTGTACGTACATATTCGCGTTGTACCTCGATGCAATCCCAATAGAGTTTATTCTGATATAATTGCTGAAAATATTTTTGCTTTGTCCACCCCCAAAGTATCAAAGTAAACAGCTGCTTTTAAAACTGTTTTAACACTTGAAGTCTTGAAACGGTCTTCCTAACGTTCGTTCACATTTTCTATCCTCCAGTATTCACCATAACGTTATCAATTGTGTTACAAAAATGTAAATTAAACAAAGAAACGCCTTCTTGTTTATTGTTTAAACAGTCACGTATGGTGAAGGTCTAATTAGTATTGACCGCAATTGTTTAAAAAAAAAATCTTTGCAGTGAAGTAAAGATTTCAGACAAACAATGCATTTCTTTGAGGACGACAAAGATAACGTTACTAACACATAAATATTTACCTCTACGTTAGATTTATTGTTCTGGATAAAGTTTTACAAGGCCTATGCTAGGTTATCTACACTTTAGCTTGCTAACTTCAGAGGCATGTAGCTAATGACAAGTGGTTTTGAGGATTGAAGATAATTTACTGTTGGTTTATTTAACAGATCAGTCACAATAAACTTACCATGCTCTGTTCAGCAAAACACTCTACACTGTATTATTGCTCGCTGCTTCAGCTGCGCTGAAAGTGAAAGTTAAAGTGAACGGCCATGACTTGAAAGTAGTCTTCATGCGCCCTCTGCTGGATACAATGTACAATTACAGCTGGTTCCCAGCATTTTAATGATGATAATGTGTTATCTATTATCATCATTGTATGTTCCCATACAATGGCAAAATTGGCTCTCTGCATTTAACCCCTCCACCACCAGGTGGTGCAGTGGGCAGCTATTGAAAGTGCCTGGGGAGCATTCGGTGATAGGGTGTCCTGCTCAGAGACACTAGGGGTGACAATCAGAAGTATTTATATCGGCGCATAACGGGACAGTTATCACTGATACTGATATTCAACCTTTATTTAAATTATTATATAATTTCCCTCTGGGATTAATAGTTTTTTTATTTTTTTTATTTAGACAGGTTAATCCCATTGATCCTCGAGGACTCATTTACAAGAGACCTGATTTCTTAAGAAGCTGCCTCAAATGCCTTTATCGACCTAAAATATAGACCCCTATATCGATCAGACCCTAATTAGTAATTCTGAAAAAATAAACTACCGGAATAATCTAATTCAATATGCACAATTTGATATAATTGATAATGATTGATATGATTGATATGATATGATCTATAGGAGTTTATTGGCAAGTTTTCTTTAAATGTATATTTTGTTTTGTTGGTAGATATGATATGATTGATAATTGAATTTGATATAATTCAGGATAATCCTTTTTATGTCTGATTTCATACTTTGCAGTAAGTACCTTTTAAAAATTTATATTTTATTTCCCCTGTCTACTTTTTATTTTTTTTGGAAAGTAATACGCACTGCACACAATTAAAATGTTCTAATTTGTACAAACTCACATACTTTGGTGTATAATGAGAGTAATTTGGCTCTAGTTGGTTTTATTTTTACAGATATGACCTGTAACCTTTTTATTTCAGTCACGGAGATTTTGTGCTTTATATTTACTTTTGGGGAAATTTCTATATTGTATTCATTTTCTGCAGCTGAAGAACTATGTAAGATGAAAAAAATAAATATTTGTGCTTTTTAGACGTGACTTTACTAAAACGATAAAAAGTCTATGGTGAAAAACAAAAATCAGCGAGTTCAGCTGACGTGGAGTCAGTCGTACAAGAGTCTGTTTAATAAACGAGACAAACATAATTTTAAGATACAGAAACTCAAACACCACCAGTGTTGTTAAAGCTTATTGTTATTTAAGAACGTCTTCAATACACTTTTACCAAAATCGTCTTAATTTACTTTAGACATTTCCTTCCCCTAAGTAATAATAACGTATCGCCTGATAATCGTTGCATCCATCATTCTAATCTTATTTTTTTGTTTCAGCCTTTGAGGTTCGACTCGGTCTTGCTGTTAATAACAAACCTCCCAATGGCCAGCGTTAAGTACACGGAGACGGACATGGCAAGTCTTCTCAGCACTTTTGGATTCAAGTACGAGCATGACAACATCTACGTTATTCCTCAGAGGCAAATGGTGAGAGCTGGTTTTAATTCAGCGTTTCGTCCGAAAATGTTTTTAAATGTTGTTTATCCGGATGCAGCCAAGTTGGGCATGCTGGGTCTCCTCTTCACAGATAGAAAAGTAATGATGGTACTAAATGTGTGTTTGTGGATTTTTCTTCCAGGCTTTTGTCCTCATGCCAAACCAGCTTTCGATGTTGGACCTCATCAGAGCGTCTGTTCACAACGGCCTCATCCTCAGTAATCATAAACTCTTCTTACACATCGTCAGGAAACACATGTTAATGTCTCCGGTAAGCAAGAAGAAAATACGCTTGTAGTTCTGCTCAGCCTGTACACAGTAGGTAGACTCCGATAAATATTTAGTAATTTTAGAATTAAACGAGTTTGTGCACTATTTTATATTAAAACATGTGACTTGTGTTTCATTTCTTTATTTAAACAACTGTATCTGCTCTCTGATGACTGATTTTTGTAATTTTATGTATATTTAGTGAGCTTGCCGTGTTAGAACAACTAAAAAGTGTTTATATATATATTTTTTTTTTGCACTGGAAAAAGATTAGCTAACTTTTTCAATCAAAAAATGTATTTTTGTCTTTTTTCACGTTTAATTAATTAATTTTTTTGTACATAAAATGAGCTTTTTAAACTAAATCATCATAAAACTTGAGCCCAACAAAGAGAAACTCATTCTGAACTGCATTTCAAAGTTTTCACTTTTCCTCTTTCAGCTCGGCTTTTATAAGACTTTGATGGACCTGACGCCTTTTGTACGTATCAAACGTTCTCCATATTTACTGATCACCCTGTAAAAACCCAACTCTTTTAAAAAAAACATGCTTTTCCTTGAAGTTTGATTCAGGCAGCGTTTTGGATCCAATTAGAACTGATGGTTTTATGGTGTGTTTCTGTATTTAATGTTGGCGTTACCAGTTTTAAATGTTTCTTGTTGCTTTTGATTATAATCTTTTAACTCATTTGTAAAGCATTCAGTCAACTTCTGTTTTAAATGCTGTAAAAATAACAACTGACATTGACATGGGCCATTACATTTTTAAGTTTGACTTTTAATTGCTTATATAGTTGTTGAAATAATAATTATAATTATAATTTATTCAATTTGTACTGCACTTTACATTTTACAATCTCAAAGTGCTCCATTTCAAAACTTTGAGAGAGAGTAAAACATGGACTAACAAAGGTCTAAAAAATTTAAAGCTAAAAAAACTAAAAACAGCAGGATTTAAAATAGTTGTGTTAAACAAAGCAAAATATTTCTGCTTAAAATGTCATTTTAAGCAAGACATGCTATAAATGTCCATTTTGCTGTAGATTATCTACAAGCAGCAAACATTTACGACAGCTGGTAAATGTTCACCCCAAGGTCAGACTGTGCAATGTCACGCTAATCGTACAATGACAAATAATCTAGGAGCTCCATCTCAGGTAGGTTGGTAAAGTTCATGACAGGACAAGTAGAAAAAGACTGAACTCGTAGGATGTAAGAGAAAACTTCTCTACAAAAAGAAGACAGCAGGACTTTGGTTTGTAATGTTTCCAGGTAAATGAGGCACAAGATTTTTGGAACAAACCAACACCAAAGTGGAGATGTTTTCCCACAAAGGTGGTCTCTCCCTGGTCTCGGACTGCTCGCAACTCAATAACTTTCTCTCTAAATAGTCAGAATTGTTTCAGGCATCTCAAACCACTCTCTGTTTATGTCACGAGTGTTTTCGAGGCGACTCTAGAGCTCTCTAGCTGTACTCTGACAGAAAACATGTCCAGTAGAGCCCGACTGATGTGGAAATTTTGGCTATCGCTGATAACTATTGGGAGGGGGAGGCGTCCACCTATAACCAATATAATGGCAGAATTTTTTTTAGCTCTGTCCACCCCCAAGTATCTTAAGTAAACAGTGACTGAAGGGGGGCTTGTCTATTTAGCGCAGCTGTTAGCTAATCAGATCTACATTATACGTAGTCCCACAGCAGGTTTACAAGTGGTGCACTGGTCATAAAACCAGTCTTCCTAACGTGGTTCACATTTCCTGTCCTCCACCATTCACCATAAAGTTATCAAGTGTGCTACAAAAATATAAATTAAACAAAGAAACACCCTTCTTGTTCATTGTTTAGTCAGTCACGTATGGTGAAGGTCTAATTAGTATTGATAGCGGCATTCAAAAAAAAATTTTTTTTTAGAGAAGTAAATTCAGACAAACGATGCGTTTCATTGAGGATGACAAAGGTAAGAAAATATAGAACTTTATTGTTCCTTCAGGAAATTGTTGTGCAAGAGTTTCAGTACAAGGCAACATACACAAGGAATCACTCAAGATATAAAAAAATAACATAGAATATAAAAACACCAACAATTAAGGTCTAAAACTGTTCAGGTGCAGACAGAAACATGAAAGTGTTTACTGTAGTGCAGGATTAATTTTATTGTCTTGTGTGTAGAAAGGGGGAGGAGTTAAAAAGTTCCATAAACACAGGGAACGATGACATTACTAACTGATATATTTTACCTCTACGTTGGATTTATTGTTCTGGATAAAGTTTTACAACCTATGCTAGGTTATCTAAATGTTAGCTTGCTAACGTGAGAGGCACGTAGATAACGACAAGCGGGTTGGAGGATTGAAGATAATTTATTATTTTTGAATTTTTAATTTTACAGATCAGTTAAAATAAACTTACCATGCTCTGTTCAGCAAAATACGCTACACAGTATTGCTCGCTGCTTCATCGGTGCTGAAACTGAAACTTAAGTGAACGGCCTTGACTTGAAAGTAGTCTTCATGCGCCCTCTGCTGGATACTTTGTACAATTACGCCATTTGCAAGTAAGGACACGACTTGTCCTTAGTGTTTATATTGGCGCATAATGGACCAATTATCATAGATACAGATATTAACGCCTATATCAGCCTGAATTAGCGGTCCTACCGATATATCAGTTGGGCTCTACTTTGACTACACATCAATGTGAAAACGTCATCAGTCTTTTGTCTTAATGTAACGTTTACCAGAACTTTCACTGAATGAAATAAAGTACAATAGAATTAAGGGAACACGAAAGGAAACGTAGAAATGATGCTTGTCTGTTGGATTTGAGTCCTCTCCTGCTGTCGTTGGAACAGAACGTGAACCAAGACGGGACGAGTTTAATCTACATCCGTGACATTTCTCCAACTGAGATCGCTGAACTTAAAAAAGCTCTGGGTAAAATCGGCCTCGTCAGAAACTTCCTGCCTCTTCTCAACAAGGTACAGCACGATGACAGGTGCATGTTGGAGTCCATGCGAACTATTTGTTCCTGATGCGCTCACGTTTCCGTGCGTTGCAGGTTTTTATTGAGTTTGAGTCGATTTATGACGCTGATCGGCTCGGCGTGTGGTACAGCTTCCTGAAAAAAGGCTTCGTCCACGTAGTTGAACGGATTAAACTACCGAGAAGCTCCAAGAGGGCTAAACGTAAGGAAACACATTTCTACTTCAGAGGTTGTGTAATCAAATGGAAGTTAATGGAAGTAATTTTGATGTGCTTGACAGCGAAGGGCTAAAAAAACAAATCTATCCCACACATCTTAACAAGTGACACTCAGTTCTTTTATTTTTGAGCTATTTGTTTAATTTTGCCTCTTATGGATGCCTCTAGAGACAGGATGCCGTCTTTTCAATTATTTTTATCAACCATATGTTTTTTGAATTAAGGGTGTTGCAAACTAAGAATAAAACATAAAAAGGTTATCCAACAATGGTTTTGAACCAGTTTGACATGACACTCGACGAGGAAGAGGGCCGGCTCCAGTAGAGGGGGCGTGCCAAAGACACCATCTTAGCACCAACATAACTGGTTTGTTCCACTTTGGAGTAAGCTGTTTGGGAGAAGAATCAGTTTTGTGTTGTGTGTTTCCTTGACTGATGAAGCCTTCTGGATGG